ACAGACAGACAGACAGACAGACAGACAGACAGACAGACAGACAGACACACACACACACACTATCCTACCAGTATGTCTTTGAGGGAAGAAACTTCATTATCAGAGGAAACCCATGCAGACACGCGGAGAACAGACAGACTCCACGTAGAGCGACTCCAGGAATTGAACCCGGGGCCCCAGAACTCCATCAGTGCAATGCTAAGCAGGTTTTTTTAATATTAATTTTTTGTTTCTGAACGAAAAGCAGCCTAATTTATACCTAGTGAAGATTTTTACCACTCTTCTGATTTTTATTTCCGACTTCCTAGTTTAAAATAGTCTTGGACAGTTAATATATTTTACAGAGGCACCTTTCACGATACATTATCATCTCAAGGCACTGGATGTTGCAAACAAAATGCGTGGTTATCACCTTCATAGTCGCATTTGTAGTGGTCACAGATCATTAACTCCTTTAATTTGTTGGTGCGGATGCTGTTTCTGTCTTTGCTGACTGGGCATGTTTACGTTTTTTTTTTTTTTTCACTTCCACACTTCCAATGTGGACTGTCCCTTGTAAATGTGTGAGAAGATGAAACCATTAAAAAAATCTAGGTTATAGGTATCTCATGAGACTTAGTGGGATTCAGTAGGAGTGAGGTATGAGAACATAAGAACAGCTACAGACTAGAGTAGGGCACTCTGTGTCTTTGGCAGTTAGTACTGAAGGTACTGTAATCGATCCCAGGATCTTGTTCAGCCGTTTCTTGGAGGAACCAAGGAATCTCGGAGATCCCCCGCACACTGCCCCGCTTGCTTTCCGCTTTTGTGTCCTGTTATCTGACTGACTAACCTATGTCGCACCACAGCCTGGTGAACCAGGAGAGCCCCCTGGAGCAGAAGTACAGAATCCACCTTTTACACGTGGATGCTTCCATAAAACTGTGCATGGCAGAGCAGTTTGATGTGACCTGCCTATACACTGCAAAAGGGGAGAAACATTTCCCCTTGGACAGCAGAGGGGGGACGCCAAACAGCTTCACACAGTTGAGTGACTTGTCCTTCCATGCATGGTCGCTTTAATGTTTACTGTCATATGTTGTGTATTGTCACTGACTGTACCACATGATACATATACTGTATGTGTCTGTATCAGATTTCATTCATCCAACCCAGCATTGACTGTGTAGCTCTTTGAACAGCCCAGGGGACTTTATAGACACCCTGTGCACTGATGGCCACTTGGATCACCTTGCTCTGGCCTGCTGTTCCCTCCCCTCTGAAGATGTATGTCAGACCTGCAGCTGAACGGAAGAGGGGACATCAAGAGTGACAGGCCTGCAGTTTTCAGAAAAGAAGAGCCATCCGTCATGGAATGTGATTGCTCCTGCAGGGTCATGTTGTGGAGAAGCAATTGAGTGTTATGTCTTTTTTTCAAGTGCACACTTCATTCTTCCAACTAAAGGATAACGATGTTTAAGCTCTAAAACGGATTGCATGAGCTCTCACGATCCCCTGCTGTATTTGTCACCTGGAATTATATTGGCGAAAAACAATAATACTGGCCAGCTACTGCTGGAGACGGCATTCTTCATCTGAGCACATTGAGACAGCCGGTGAAGGTTTATGGCGTGGGCACCCTGCTTTATGTGTGTAATGTGCCAGTGTGCATGAAGGCGTGTCTTTTGTTTTTAGATTTAACTCATTCAAGGTGTAGTTGTTTCTTGTTATTTTGCTTCGAGTTGCAAAATCTAAAGCATCGGTTATTAGCGCAGTGATATTTTGTTTTCTGAGACATACTGTCAAGACTGTGTCTCTCAGGGAATCCCTATGGGGCCAGTTACATGCTGCTAAAGAAGGCTGTGCAAGAGTGGCTGTTCCCTGGCTTTTCTGCGGGAATTGTTTACAGCAGCTGACGAGAGCTATATGGTTAAATACATCACTGATAGGAAACAGATGGAAACAAGGTTGTTTGTCGTGGTGGTGTCTTTGCACTTCTGTTGGAAGTTGAGAGAACAAGATTTTTTTGTTTCATCCCACATAATTGCCTTCTTAGAAAAGCACTGCCTGTTATTCAAGTCCTGCCTTTTCTGAAGACAGTGAAACAAGCTTGACTGCTGAGGGAGGTACCATTGCCAAAGAAAGGCTCTTGCTGCTCATCCTTCTGAGCCAGTTCTGCAGGAGCTGTTTGGCATTCTTCAAGCATCCAACAGTAAACGAAAACCTCAGCATCTTAAAAAAAATTAACTGTATGAATATTTTATGCCCTTGTATGCTGGATAGGGACAGCAGGCCGAAGGTCATTTTTTTCTTTGCTTTTTTGTTTTCTTTTTTTATTCTGATCCTTAGAATGTGATCAAAAGAAAATCTGGCTTAACTGGCCGAGTGAAGGAAGTCAGAGGGCGGGGGGTTGGTGTTCTGTGGGAGGAAAGGTGAAGCGATTATCCTCCTTCAGCGGCTCGCATGTGGGGCGAGAGCTGCGCAGGGGGTGAGCTTTGTCCCCCCATGATGCTCCCTTAGGATGAGAGCTGGCCCAGAGCTCCGGATAATCAAAACCGGCTGTCGGCTCACTGCTCCGGTGACTTGAAAGACAGCTCGGTGACATGGAACAGGCCCTGCTGGTTTGAAATCACTACTCTCTCTTTCTGAGGAGCGATGTACAGCCCAGGGTAGTCCAGCCCCTGTCCCAGAGGGCCGGTGTGTCAGCAGGTTTTTTTGAAACAGCTGGGAGAGGTGACAAATTGATAAATTGGTCGGGCCAGGCCGATAGCGGTGACTTGCTGTAACTGGTTATTATTTTTTTTTTCATTTGTTCACATTTGAAAAGTGTACAAGGCAGGACAGTGCGGCAGCAGAAAGCGAGAGACCTTGTCTTGATGAGCCAATTCTGGGGAATAAAGAGGTGATGGCACGTTTGCCTGTTACCTTTATACCTGGGATACACACTGTAGTTAGCTGCTTGGCTTGATGTTGCATTTGTGATCAGCTGCACTGAGTGCTCATACTGTTTCACTGTTTAACTGCTTCCCAGAGTAAAAATCTTGAAACCTGTGGGACAAGGATTGCTCGCATCAGGAAGACTTCAGTCCTTGAGAGCTGTTCAGCATCTCTCTGAGACTGAACTTGCTGTGTTGATCTAATGTGTTGATCTAATTCTTCCAGTGAGACACCAGAACAGATGTTCATTTAGGTCTTAATCAGCGTTTGGTTGAAGAGTAGCTCTGGACTCTGGAACTTCAGAAGCGGTCGAGCCCTCCCCCCTTGTGCACAAGCTCTGCTGCTGAACAGCGGGGAAAAGGGAGCACTGGCTTCTATCTCTGCAGTGCCCACATGTGCAAGGTACTAACACACCACCAGCACCGTGTCTCCATGGATTTCCTCTTCCAGATGTTCTGGAGTCACAGCTGTTCAAACCTGTGAATGATAAGCAATACCCTCAGGATCCTGTGGAACAGGCAATAGAATTATTTGGGAGTACAGAGAGCACTGCTCACAGTATGTGTTAGCTGGGGATATTGTGGTGAAAATGACTAATAAATCTATTTAAAAAATTGAACGGGAAACATCCCCTTGATTAGCCGCTTTTCCTGTTGAGATCATGGCGAAATGGTTTTGACGAAATAAAGTGCTAATTGAAGTGCTATTAGCGATGGGTGTTTTGCAACAGCACACGTCAATATGTGACCTGTGTGGCTGCCCTTGATTAAATCAAATCAGGCTTAAGCACACCAGACGTAGATAGGCTGCTGCCCAAAGCATTTGAAGGAACACTGTTTGCAAAATGTTGTTCACGTACAGTATGTACAGTACCTCTTCAGCAGTCATACAGTTTATTTAAAAAGTTTCTTGAACCCGTATATACCAGTGTGAAACAGACAACAACCCCGGGGAATGAGTGTGCTCTGGGGGTCTGTGCTGCTCCCCTGATGTGTACTCCAGTCCAAAACCCAGATTCAATTAGACTGTGAACCCAGTGCAATCCCAATGATAATCTCTTTTCGGTGTCATTATACCATACGCACTGTTAATCTAATCCTCCCACTTTTCAGTTGTGTCTTTACTGTCCATTATTATTCAGACCCCTTAAGTCCTTTGGACCCTTCATCCACACAAAATCACCTCAGTTGTCCTTTAGTTTAATATTTCCTGTATGCATTTCTAACTACCTTCTGAAAACCTTGATTCATCTAAAATTCAAATGAATGTATTTTTTTTCCATGAAGACCCCCTTTGTGTACTTGTCATCACTGTTAGAAAATTATAGTAATTCCAAAGGCATTAGAATAATTCAAGGTCTTTATTCGGACCCACACTCAAATTATATATTTAATTTATTTGTTAGCCTACAGAAAGGCACATTGTCTGAATTATATATTTCTACAGCACATATAGAAGCATGCACATGCATACAAATATACATTCATATGCACATACTGGTGGTTAAAATTATAGGTTAACCGAGATTAACGGCTTAAATGCAAAATACATCATAAGACGGGAAGGTTCTCCATCGATTTGAATTTTATAACAAAACTAAAATTTGAGGCTAGAAAACAAATGTAACAAAGAATTGTTTTTTTTTGTTTGTTTTTCTGCAAACATTTCCAATGAAAACATCCTTTTATTATAATCTGGGCATTCTGTCCCTCAGCTTGGATGCTGGTACTGTCTGCCTCCCTGTTGAGTTATCAGGCCTGTACAGACACTGGTTGTTCCATCCCTCAGGTTGAGTAGGGTATTGCCTACCATTCTCAGCACAGCCCTGATCGTTTCCTAGAGAATTAAGTACAGTACAATGGTTTTCCTTTCCTTTGTCACACCTGCGGGCCCATAGGTTGTCCTACTGTATGGCACAAATACTTGTTCTTATCTTTTTTGGCATTATTTCCAAGTCCAAACCTTTTTGTGTTTAAGAGTTCAGTGACTTTTTTTTTCATGTAGCAGTCGCTGTTCTGTGAAAGTATTTGTTTGATAGGCATCAATTGCCTGTCATTCGGGACCCTCAACATACAGCCGCAGTACGCCTTTTGGGATATTTGGGGATGACTGAGTTGCAGCGCTGATACTTATAGACTTCTGTGGTTTTATCTGTGGTTTCTTTCCAGATGTGAAAGTGGCTTTGTCTGTCTTTTTATTTATTTTGCTTTTCAGAGAGCTTTTCACAAAGCATTCTCTTTGATTGACAGCCATTTTTTATTTATTTAACTATTTTGTGTCTTATCTTGCCTGTTCAGTCACTTGGGGATTTACTGTAGAGAATTATTAATGAGAGTATTCACTGCTTTGCCCTTTTGAGAACACGTTGCAGGCTCTTGCCAGAGTGCTCTGTTCTTTATTTACTGTGCTGTGGATTGATTTTTGTCCGTGTAGCTTTAACCACAGGTGTATTGAGAGGTCCATTTTTAATGTTTCTTCAAACATTGATGCCCCTACTGTTGTTGCTGAAATTTTGACATTCTTTCTTTCTTGCTTAAATACATTAATTTCCATGGAAACACTTTTGGTCATTCTGTAGAGACAACTTAGAGATCCAGTACTCTTCAGAGAACAATTATCTGAATAACTGATCTTACAAAGCGTACATACAGATCTATGTTTACAGCTGTAGTGAGTCATTAACCTGTGCACCGCCTGTGGTAAAAGTGTTCAATTCTTATTAGATGTACATGTTTTATTTCTTCGGTAGTTCAAATCAGGCTTATGAGAAATATCTGTTTCAGAGTAAGGATGTAATCTTTTGCAGTGACTTTAGGTTCTTTGACGAAGCTGTCTACAGCACCAAACATGAAAGTTAAAGCAAATTCATATCCTACATCAATTTGTACAAATGATAGAGTATAGGCTTTTCTTCCATCAACAAGGTTTTAAGACGTTGTTCATGTTTACTTAGATTGTGTGGGATGCAGCATGCATTTCAGAAAAAAGATGCATATTTTATTTCAAGTCCTTTTTTACTCCTCAGACTTGACGTTTACAGAAAAACTGCCAGTTTTAACAAACTGTCAGAAACAAAATGAAATGTAGTGTTATACAGTATATTAGAACA